TTTTTGTTTTGACACCTGTCCAATTTACCACTTTTTTTTTGGTGTTTCAAATGCATCAAATTTTTATACCTAAATTAATAAGAACCTCCCGGTGCCGAATATTTCTCCCCAAAAAAAAAAATTGTGGGGGAGTTTTTTTTTTGGGTCCCTTTTAAAATTAATCCCTACCACCTTTTTTTTTGACTTGGGCAATAATTTGATCAAATTTTGGAACAAATTTTTTTTTTGGAAAAAATAATTTTCCCTGGGCGGGGGATCCCCTAAAATTTAGGGCAAAATAAGAAAAGATACCGAATTTTATTAAATTTGGCAAAAATGTTTCCCTCCGGGGGTTAAAAAAAAAAAAAAAAAAAAAAAAAAAAAAAAAAAAAAAAAACCAATTAAAAATACATCACTAATAAGATTCTAAAACCTTATATAAAAAAAAAAAATACTAATATTTTCTCTCAAAAAATACACAAAATATCTTCCAAAATATATATAAAACGTCTCTAAATATATAAACAAAATATCTCCCTAATCAAGTCACATGAACATATTTAAAGTTCTAAACTACAATTAACCTTCAATCCCTAAACTAATCCAGGAAGAGAGAAGAAAAAAAAAAAAACAAAAACAAGATGATCAAAAGCTTAAAGCTCTAAAATCCTTAATCTTCCAGTATCCCTTCTGAAGATCTTTCGTTCATGTTTGTTAAAAATATATTTTATTTTCATCTTATTCTAGATTTTAATTATTTAATCTAACATTTTCAGTTTAACCACTCCAAATTTTCCATTTTTACATAAAAAGGAAAAAAAAAAATCACAAAGAAATCATAATAAGACACAGCTTGAAATGAATATAGAATTAAGATATTATTTTTGCTTTAGTTTCTCTACATTTTTTTATTCTACTCTAATTTATATTGTATGAAATTTTAATTCTACTCAAACTCAAACCTTAAAGAGTAGTTATAGTTATATGTTTCTTCAGGTATTAATTCTTTAACCATGTACCTTGATGTTAAACTTGACACTCCACCATGAGGTTCCATCGCAGCATGCATATACAAAGTTACTACCAATAATGGAAAAATACAACCTTTACTGGATATATAAACCTTCAATAATTTTTTTCTAAGTTCAAAACTTAAATCTGACATAATCAAGAATTTGAATAACCGTTGGATCAAAATCCGTTAGTTTATTAACCTTCATAGTTATCGCATTTTATTTTGTTCCGTATGATTAAATCCCAGCTCGCAGAGGTTTATACTTGGATATATCAGTTACAAATTATCTTGATATCAAACTCAAAACTAGCCAACAACCAGTCAATAAACACAAAAACAAGACAGAAAGCTTCAGTGCCCTTCGATTCAGATCTATCAGGTCACAGAGTGGCCAAAAACCTCATCTATCTCTACTAGGCTACATTTTATGACCTTTATCCAATTTGCAGCCTTAAAAATTATAAGGAAAATTAGCCAATAATATGACTAAAAATATCAGAGTTTCCTCCCAAAAGAATACATCAAACAAGTACCTTAAGCAATCTCTTTTTTAATGATAAGTATACACGGAATGAATATGCAAATTATGCAAAATTAATGATATAAAGGAAAAAGGGATGCGCACAAAATCCTCTTTCGACCAATCAAATTGGATTCACCGTACATGCTCCTTTGCATATGAATTCTGCCAACCGTAGTTTGAACCGTCCTGAGCACAGAGACCACTCAATTTTGTATAAATCAATCCAACATCCTTAAACAGATGCATAGAAAACAAAAGAGGACCAAACTAATAATATTATCATTGGTAAGAAGATCTGCAGGCCACTAGAGCAAAATTCCATTACTCAATAAAGAAATCTAAGAAAGAAACACATGAATCCTCCGATTTCTCTTTGAGGTTATAAATATGTAATTTCTACAAAACTACAACCTCTGGAGTCTTCAAAATAACACCACAAATGGTATAATCATAAAACAGGAGGAACGTATTGACAATTTTTTCATTCCACTTCTTCCATATTCTCCATCAAACAAATTACTGAATTTTTTTTTCTCATCATCTCAACTTTCTATCTTCCTAATTCTTCATCCTCTCACTTTTATATGCACCCCACAATCATAATCATTCAGAAACTACGAACATATACTGCAGTTATATCTTCTTCAATCAAAATGCCTGCAAAGTTCTGCATAACAATATGTGAATCCATTCTATCTTTGTCTTGTGATTTTACATTTCTCTTTTTTTTAAGAGAGAAGAAGGATATGCTAATAAACACAGAGTACATATTAATAAATGCCAAAGAAATGAATTTAGATTCTCCGAACAGAGATTGAATCAAGAAGATTCAAAATATTGGTTCCATCGTAGATGGGATGTCTTCTGAGCAAAATACAAAAGGTTCTATGCCTGTGATCACTAATCTTGTCGAGCAGAGGGAAAAAAAATTGTCAAAAAGCACTTATGTTTCTCCTGCCAAGTAAACCAGAAAGACGAACAATGGAAACAATCTTCTTCGTTAACTATGAAGTAGCAACAAGGTTTCAAAGTGACAGCTGAAACTCATAATATTCTGATTTCATTACAGAAAAGAAGAAGATAATTAGGGGATTCCAAGTCATTCGCATGGACAAAGCATCTGTTTGCAAGTGGCCTACCCCTTTTCATCAAACTATCCAATGTTAAAATGCGGCAACCTCCCAACCAAAGAAAGCCAGCAGGGGGAAACTTTGGTTTTCCATATTTATTTTGAAAGAAACGTGTCAAGAATTTGGTCCTTTTACCTATGATTACAGAAGGATTTGACTGAAAACTTTCCATTTTTCAGGATCTTCCGAAGAGGAGATATCTTCCTTGGTTGGGACAATAGAAAAATTTCTCCTAAAGCACAAAAAAGAGGCCTATTCATCAATCTCCCAATCTTTAAGATTTTGCAGAAGAGGAATATTCCACAAGATGTCACCACTATTCATGATAGAGATCAAGGTGGCCCAAATCAAAATAGACCTCATAGGAGCCCAAAGATACATGAAAGCTCATGGCCACATGAGAATTCATGGCTACATGAGCTTGGAAGCTCCGGCCACATGAGAAATCATGTGGTCATGAGCTTGGAAGCTCACGGCCAACAAAAGAGATCATGGCCACATGAATGATGAAGTTCACGGCAAGATCCATACAAGGGAAGATCCTCACGGCAAGGTCCATATGGGTAGGAATCAAGACCTAATTCTTGGAAAGCAACATCCACATGGAGATGAGCCTAAGATGGATCCAACTCAAGGTGCACTTGCGTTATATGAATTGAATATCACTATGTCAAGTGGACTAAGCACAAGATCATGGCCCAATAAACTCAAGAAAGACTTTCAAGTTTATATTAAAGGATGGATCCATAAAGAAGGAAGCCATTCAACCAAGGGTAGAGACAGGCAAAAACTTGTCTACAAGAATCCTAATTCTTCTACAAGGCCAAGTACTATGGATCCTAACATTCCACAAGCTAATCTTCTAAGAGTCCTACAAATCTTGGACACGTGGCCAAATATTCTGCAAATCCTCTAGACATTCTGCTATCATCGTACAAGTTAAAGAGTCCTTAAGTTGTTGGACTCTCGAGTATTTAATACTTTACAGGAGTTTTAGCCAATTACTTCTCTCCTAAAAGCATATTAAACATGTGAAAAGGTATATTAAACATGTGAAGAATCAAGGATGCTCTACAACAGCTTGGCGGGATATTAGCTCATCTTCTTATCAAACTAAGAATCATGGCCGAGGCATTCTTCTACAAGATGGACGGTTTCACATCACTAAAGAGTCCCTACTATTTGTCCTTCTTTCATTCAAGAGTAAAGAGTCCTTATTATATGTATTTTATCATTTGTAGATTATGATCTTTAAGGGTCCTAGATAAACATTTTAGTTGGGAGTCCTTAATCATTTAAGAGACCATTTCCTTTAAGGAAACTCGGGGCTTTTAATAAATTTTGCTACTTGTGAGGTCCTTCAACCTTCTTATTGCGTAAAGAATTGTTGTCAACTTATCAAAGTAATTTGTGGCATTTTCATCACTTTCTTTTCTTAAATTAATTTCAACTTATCAAGGTCTTCTTGTGGTGTTTTAATCAATTCATTGATATCTATTTAATTCCAATCACAGGTTGATTGTGGAGTAAGTAGGAAAAGTTTGTTTAAGGATTAAATCTCTATGCTAATTGTGTAAGCGTTTAGAAAAAAAAAAAAAAACTACTCTTGGTGAGGTAAGAGATGAGCTAAGGGTGAAGAGCACTTGGACTGAAATCGAGACTGAGATGAAAGATGATTTGAGCACGTGAACTGATAACAGATCCAGAGAAAAATGAGATCAAAGTGAGAGGGAAAGGAAGAAAAGTGCTTCAATTATATGGCTAGGTGTAGAAAAATAGTCAAGATTGATGAATAAAGGATGAGAGAAAAGAGCGACAAGCCTAAGAGAGACTTTAATGTGAGAGAGAAAGTCAAATGAAGGTAAGAGGGAGACTCCCTTCACTCCCCTTCTCTCCATCATAACAAATCCCCTTCTACGCTACCAAATTGATTGAGAATAGTTAGTACAGACTCACCTACTAATCATAATCATGAGACCTAATAGTAGTGTTTTCAGGCTTTTTTGGGGCAAAGAATCATGGCCGCTCAGTCTCAATCAGATAGATGGAGTTAGCCTTCAATGGAGTTAGAGAAGCCATGGTGAAGGAAGAAGAAGAAGAAAAATTAAAAAAAAAAATTTGACGTTTACGTATGTCGTAAAGAGAAGCAAAGAAATTTTATCTTATTTTTATTCTCCAATTTGTTAATTGTTCAAAATATTATTTATAAAGGAAAATAAAAATTTAAAAATATTATAGATTTGCATACCATGTCAGCACCAAGTGTGCAAAAAAAGCCACATAATTGACCACATAAGCGGAAGCTAATAGTTTAAATGAGCGGTTGATGCCATCTTATTTTCTGTCAATGTAAGCGTTCAATCAAGGAAAATTAGAAGATTCAGGGCTTAATTGGACCCAAAAAATAATTCAAGGGCTTAACTGCACAAATTTTTGAGAAGCATAGGGACGAACTAATGCTTTTCGCCAAAAACTGATTATGAAGTAAAACTAGTAGAAAAGCTGTCAGATTAGTAGGAATAAAATTTAAGGATTAGAAATTTAATTAAATGAGTAAATCAATACTTACAGGCACAAACAAAACTCTAAGCATCAAGAACTTCAAAACTGATGCAAATTTAAGTTGAGTAAATTACCTGATCAAGAGATTGTCCTAGGTGAAAAGATTCAACAGTTGTCAATGATTTCCAACAGCTCTATTCTTCTTTGACTTTCTAGATTGTAGAGCATTGCTCAAGGAAGATACTCCCTCACTAACAGTGTCAAGCTCCTGCATTTCAATCTCCCCCTCACTAAATCTTCTCTTCTTAGCATACCTAATGAGTTGCATAACTAGAATAATGTATTTAATTCATTTAGGTATACATTTTTTAATTCAAAAAACAGTTTTCTCTTAAATTCTACCGAACTCAATTGACTACCTCTCATTTAGTGAAACATCTTCCAAGTTTTTTGTCAACCACCGTACGCATCCTGTATGTTCCGGGACCAAAGACCCATATATATGCATTATTTCTTCATCCAAACTGCAAAAATGAATAAAATAAAAAATTATGTACTTAAATATGCCTCTGAAAGAGGGATGAACTACAATCAGCTTATACCACAATCAGTACATCCAAGAAGTGAAAGGAGTTAATCATATGATTTGCACTTTTTTTTGGACAAACTTTCTCTATCAGGGATGCTGTACAAAAAAAAAGGTTGGAGAATCATATATATCTCCTTTATAGGAATAACAAACAAGATCAAGGATTTTATCTTGAAAGTCTGCAACATTAGGTAATTGATTGTATCTAAGCCTGTATACTTTGTAAAAAGAGAGATCCCTTGAATGGAAACAAAAAATAAAAACAGAAATTGTCACCTCTTGATCAAAAATCGTATCGTGGTTCCAACCTTTATCACATGACGCTTCTGAGATCTGCTAACAAATCGATGTTCGCCATGTTTCTATAACAAAATAGAAGGCAAAGTTTAAAATCTAACTGATATTATACCTAATATAAATTCCCAGAATATCCAAAGAGCCAAATGGAAATGTTATGAACTTAAAAGAAAATGGCAGAAGATGCTCACAATTTTATATTCAAACTTCTTACAGAATTCAGCCTCAGATATGATAGCAGATGAGAAACCAAGAACTATTACATGAATGGATTCTTCTGTAAGTTTCACTACTTTCCCTTCTGAAATCAATAATCATTAGAAAGGAATTGATTAGACATATTTGACCATGTAAACAATTACATATTAGAAAAATACATTAAACACAAGCACAAAACAAAAAGGTCAAAAGATACAATTAGCCATCATATCTAAAGAACAAATACAGATCCCTCTTCTTTTGTTAAGAACCCATGAAATAATTCCTTGTTCAACCATTCTTATTTAATCAGGATGTCTACCGCCATAGAAAATATCCTCACAAGAAATTTCCCAATAGAATAACCAGTAATCTAAGTACCAGAAAAATATTAGTTAGAATAAGCAAAATATAATGGAAAATTTACCTATTAACAAATCTGGCTTTGGCGAAAAAAGTAAGAGCTTCGCTTTTAGTCTCACACCAAAGTAAGGATGAACTCCAGGAAGAATTTTTGCACATTTATCTAGAATGTTAACATCATAAGCCAGAAGAACACCATCAAAAGCTTCACTGAACCTGTAAAAAAATACAGGAAAAGAATTATAAAGATATTTTGGACATAGATGTCCGTCCACCATTATTATCACCACAGGAGCATAAATTCAAAGAAGTTACTGTTGATTCCACCTAACTCATTATCAGGTCCAAACCCTGATATTTGATGTGGGTTATACTTTGATTTCATCAAGTAAATTACCAATAACAAAACCTTAGTGCATTGAGGTTAGAGATTCACGCTGGGTAAAAACATTTGTAAATTTATTCTTCATATATGTATATGTATATCCTAATATCATCTCTCCCATGGAACAAATCTAATTTTACTGAACCCTGTAAGCAAATTCAATAATCTCATCGTAAGTTATTTACCTTTTAGGAAAAAAAATTGGGAGAATATATTTGAAAAGCAAATCACTAGCATGAATAACATGAAATGCCTCATGATGAAAATCGGATTGAGTTTATATTTCCCAAAAAGAGTAAAAATTAAAATTATTCTTAATATAACCATACTGTTATACCATTTAGATTTCTATTACTAAAACTTTTGGAACTTCAAGATTTTATTCTTTCAGCTTTCCCATTCTTATTAGTATTAGTCATCCCTACTTTAATCCTCTTTAAGATAGGTTATTTAAAAAGCACTGTAAGTTCTATTTTAATTTTATTTTTGAGAGTCTCTCGTTATCCAATACAGTGCTCTTGAGAATGTCCTCAATCTTTTTGGTTCAGTAATGCAATCAATCAAACCTTTAATTCTTATTCTAAATAATTTTTGAGTTTGATATCTAAGAAACTCTAAGTGTAATGTTTATGTTTTATCGAAAAAATTTATATGATTAACCTTTCTTACACACTAGACCTTCCAATGAGCTCCTTTACGCATCATACCTTCCATACTTCCTAATTATAGAGGAAGGTGGAGTCCATGGAATCCACC